AAAAGATGCTATCATACATATCAGTCAGTAATTTTACTTCCACAAATGGGTACCAACACCTCACCACCTAGGTACCCTTAGTTTGACAATTTAACAAAGGTTCCATGTTAATAATGAAACAAACAAACACAGTCCAAAGGATCAGAAAAAGCCAGCTAAATAAAGGCAATTAATTTAAAGCAAGCACTTAAGAACATGTTTTACCAAGTAAGCAAATAAATATGCACACAAATCATGGTTAGAGAGCAATCATCACATGCAACATGAAAATCAATACTCTCAGATTTTTCAAACTAAACAGATATGGGATTCTTTAACATTTCAGCAACACCCCAAACAGAATCCAAAGGAGAAAATGGTTTAGAAGAATGTACAAGAATATTGCGGCATTCTTGATGAGAAGAACCAGCTGGGGGGCAAGAAGCACGCTCTCGAAAATCATGTTGCCTCAAAGTTCCATCCTCACTTGCACTCCATACCACATTTGGATTTCCAACTTCTACCTAAAAGAGTAAGCACCGTATAGCAAACAAATGAACATCAGTTAATTTTATTGATGGTAATGGAATTGTAATACGGAGTAACTAATAAGATCCTACAGCTAATTTTTTGACCCTCCTGGTATGGCATTGAAACAGTGCTGATGGGCTGACAACATTCACATCCCGTCCTCTTCCGCTCAAATGAGACAAATGAAAAACGCGAACCTGTCATATAGAAAGCACCGGAGAGTATGAGTTTACAGAACCAGTTACTGGACATTGACAGCACAGTTATATCTGCATGTGCTGCTATACATGTATGATCGACCCATCAAGAAATTACTTCAGCATCTCCCGCTCCAGAAACAACTAGTTCATCTGAAGTTTCAGGAACAAATTTTGTGCAGAATATATTTGCAGTGTGGCCTGTCTCAATAGTGTGAAGTAATTTGCAGTTTGAATAGCTCCATATATTCATCTGTGGCAAATGATGAAGTCAGCTAACAGAACAAATTTTTAAATGCAGTTTATTCAAAAGCTAAGAGAAAACACCACATTATATCATACAAACAAGGAGAAGCCATGCAAAGTGATAATTAAATACATTTCCATAAGGGCTATCAATCAAATTATTCATCTCAGATTGGATAATAATGTTGAATAATAGGAAAGTTGTCTTAGTTTCCTATTCTTATTAGTAGTTTCCTATTCCTATTAGGACTAATTTAGTATCTAGTTTAGTATATATAGAGGTCCATAGAAGTATAGAATAGACATTAAGAGAGACAATCTATTGTACTCTTTCATTATAATATATTCTCTATATTCTCTTGTTCTTTGGTTCTCACATATTTTGCTTCCGCCTAACTGGCGGGTGGTGGGTTTTCTCCACCCGCCAGACCTATCAATCCCTCAATTTCAACATGGTATCAGAGCCAACTTTCCTAGGCTGTTTTTCTTCAAATATTAAAACCCTAATATTAACCCTAGCTTTCCGCCGCCGCTGCCCGCCACCGGAGGGTAACCACTGCCGCCACTGTTTTCTCTCGTTCCGACGCACTTCTAGTTGTTCAAAGCAACTAACACCACAGCCTTACTCGGAACCTTGTCGCGAGCCGTCGCTTGAAATCCGGTCGCCATTCACCGTCGCACGCGCCACCACCGTCGTCGGGAGTGCTTTCGCTTTTCCGGCCAGATCTCCTCTTCTCCAGTGATTTTGTGATCTCACCTCCTACACCAATGGATTCCTCTCCCTCTTGCGACCTTATCTGGAAAATTTCATCGCTTTCCTCCACCGCCGTCGTCCTCACGCGCCACCGCCGCCGTCACGCGCCGGCACGTGAGTCTGCCTCCGGCGAGATTTTTCAGATGGTTGTTTTGCCCTTCTTTCAACTTTTTGGTAAAATTTGAAGGCTTCTTTGGGTTTGTTGCCGAACATTTTCCCATGGTGTTTGTGTTTTGGTATAACCGTGTTTGTTTCTTTATCTCCGGTATGCCTTATCCCATGGATGGTCAGTTTCAGCACTACTATAAAGGCCTTTGATTATTTCCCATGTTTCAAGTAAGGGGGAGTGTGACTATCTACAATTGGTGTGCTATCATTTACTATTATTTGCTATTTTATCTACTATGGGCTCCCTTTGCTATTCTTTGCTCCCTTTCTGCCTCTACCGCTCTCTTGTGTTATCGGGAGGTTGTTCATGTTTAACTCTATCCTTGGTGTGTTCATCTTCATTCCCGAGGTTCATGTTCAATTCTATCCTCGGTGTGTTCATTCCCAAGATCGTGTTTAGCTTCGTCCTTGGTGTCTTCGTCTTTATTCCCAAGGGTCCTTAGTGTCTTCGTCTTTATTCCCAAGGATTGTGTTCAGCTCCGTTCTTGGTGCCTTCGTCTTCATTCCCAAGGAAGGGTCAGACATAGCGCAATCTCTTTTGAAGTCATCCATCCTCAGAGTGCTTATATTGTTGTGATGGTGTTCGTGTTTTCCCTTGGTGCCTCCATTCCCAAGGATGTTCGTGACAAGCTTTGCCCCTGGTGTGTTCATTCCCATGGGTTGCATTGTCCCTCCGAAGCCATCTCGCATTGTTATCCTCTAGTTGCATTTAATTTTCACTTGTAATTTTGAGTGATGTAGAGTGCTTGTTTTAATCCAAGCTTGGAACTTCAGATGTTCCAGCTTGAGGGGGAGTGTTGAATAATAGGAAAATTGTCTTAGTTTCCTATTCTTATTAGTAGTTTCCTATTCCTATTAAGACTAATTTAGTATCTAGTTTAGTATATATAGAGGTCCATAAAAGTATAGAATAGACATTAAGAGAGACAATCTATTGTACTCTTTCATTATAATATATTCTCTATATTCTCTTGTTCTTTGCATGGTTTAAAAAGGCGCGCCTCAGTACGCCTCAGGGCGAGGCAGTCCGATATAGCCCTGAGGCGTCCGCCTCTCAGGCAATGTTAGAGGCGGACGCCTCAGGCACGCCTTAGGGCGTGTCTGAGGCGTGAAGTGAGGCGTGAAGGCCTTTTGTTAGAAAGTCTAACTATTATTTGTTTAAGCCCAATACAAAAAATAAAAACCAACCCAATGACCCAATCAACCCTAGACTAAAATTAGAATTTAGAAGTCAGTGTAATAATTCAAAGAAAAGATTCAAAGAAAAGAAACGGGAAGTGCGATTTGCGAATAGCGGAAGACTGCGAAGTGCGAACTCACTGTGCGACGCGACCTCCCCCCTCCGGCGACCTCCAAGTTCCGGCGACCTCCCCCATCTGGCGACCTCCCCCATCCGGTGACCTCCAAGTTCCGGCGACCTCCAACCCTCCAACGACAGGTGATGCACTGATGCGTCATTTCTCATTTTATTTCTTTTTTTTTTTTTGGGTTAAACTAATAAGCTGAGTAGGTGTTGTTAGAGTATTATATATATGTATAATGTATATAAGTATATAAGTAATATAACTAATATTTGTGATAGGATTTTTGGCAGTAGTATATTAATGTTTACAGGCTTACAGCTTACTAATATATTCTGAGGCTAAAAATTGAGGCTTACGCCTCAATACGCCTCGAGGCTTACGCCTCGACTCAAAATAGAAAACGCCTCAAGGCACGCCTCCGCCTTTTTAAACCTTGGTTCTTTGGTTCTCACATATTTTGCTTCCGCCTAACTGGCGGGTGGTGGGTTTTCTCCACCCGCCAGACCTATCAATCCCTCAATTTCAACAAATAACATTAGCAACAGTAAGGTGCTTCTCCATGCAAACTCAAAGTGAAAAATACCAGAGGAACATTTATGCTTTAACCAAAATAAACCGGAAAGTTCTGCGCTATATTTTCTTCAACCAAAAGCTAAAGGAGTATTTTGGGGCTTATCTGCTTTGTTTATTATTATTTTTTTTTCAAAAAAAAAAAAAACTTTAAAGTAGATAAGAAGAGTTTATGCTTGTCCCTCTGAAGCCTCAAATAGAGGCTTTTCCAAAAAGCTCTCTGGAAAAAAAGACAATGTTAATGAGAATATCTGAGTATCAGACTTAAAAAATTATCCCTCCAGGTTCTAAACAACAATTTAGTATAAATAATCTCTTTGCCTTTAACTGTTCATGGTTACTTGACTTGTTCTTCCACCAGACTGCTTTTGTCAAAGTAGATCTTTCTAGAAAAGTCCAACAGTCCAACCCAACCAAACAAGCACTAGATAAGAAAATTCTAGCTTCATCCTTCAAATCTAAATTTGTCTGTGTTGAAAAAGGGAGGCATTTAACCTATACCCTAAATCCTAAATCTTGTTGTGTTGGGGGTGGGGGGGGGGGGGGGGGGGGGGAGGCACAAAAGCCATATTAAAGGCTGAAAGTGAAGGCTTCCTCTAAAGAATCAAAACAAATCACATAAGGTAACAAGCAATGCAGTTATGTTTTTTAACAATATCACAGTATGCCTATTCTTTCATCGGCAAATTGCTTTAAACCAAGAACATAGTGCATTCAAAAGACTGCTATTGTAGACTAACTTCTAGCATGATCAAAGTCCTCAAGCCAATTGAATATTGCAGACAAAACATTCCTAGTATCAACGAAGTCATATTTCTCACAGCATGGCCCTGTTTATTCTTTATCTTTAGGAGGATAGGGTGTAGGTCAACAGAAGATATATGAGTCTGCAATATATTCATGTAAATAATCATACTCTCATATCATCAGATCCAGATATCAGAAGTGACCCTCTTGAATTCCAAGCAATAGTATTCACACAACCCTGATGATCCTGAAAGATATCAAACAGCAGCTTGAGACAAAATGACTAAATATTCCAACAAGGTAATTTGGGGAAAATGCATAAAGCAGAAACCAAATAATTGTATTCACCACATGAAGAATCTTATCCTAATAGAAGAAAATTACTTGTATCATTATTATTATCATCATCTAAGAAGTGCAACCAACCAATGTGTTCCAAAATGTACCAGTTATAAATATTTTTTTTAAATACATTCATGTATATAATCTTTATTCTTTTTGAGCATTCTTCCAGTAAAGTTGACAGCACTGTTCTCCGAAAAATTAATGGAACAGGTATATTCAAAGATTGCTGGAGTCTGGAGAAGCCTGACAGTCCGATGGAAGTTTTGGACAACCCATAGGTACTTCAGAATGAAGAAGTGGGTAAAAAACTTAGCTAGAAAATGAAAAACTAGGTTGAAAATCCATGGATTCAACTACATTTATCATCTCAAAATCCTAGCTATTAACCTGAATATCAAAATACCATTCTGTTTCCCCCCCTAGTCTAGAGTTCAGTGAAGGTAGATGCATCTCAGAATAGCCACGAGCCCATGAGTATGGATATAAATTTTATCCCTCAACCTACATTGGAATCTAAATATTTTTCCTTGTCTGGTTCAAGAACAGCCTATGCAAGTCTATTATGAACTATAAAAAAGTGAATCATATAATTTGATTTAACACCAGTTACAGGTTGAGGTCTTGTTAGGCTACTCACCTCTAGTTCTCTTTCTAAAGACAGCCTTTGTACCAAAGATGAGTGCATTTGTAATCTGTGATCAATGTCCTGTTTGCAAGAGAAATTTCAAGAGTTCAGAAAGTAACAGACAAATAGAACAAAATCAATAAAATAATAATGGTCTAACTCACTAAAACCAAAAAGGGGATTAAAACTGACAATCGAACATACATGGTGGACGTCAAGAGAGCGACCATTGATGAAGTCCGTAATGTTGCCATCGCGGAAGCACAGGGACTCCATTTCGCCGAGAATCATCGAGTGACCGGCTCAGAGATAGGGAGTAGAGAAACCTAGCTCGATCAAGACGACTACAACGCCGGCAAATCGGTGATGAGGAAGATCGGTGCGTGTATCTGCGTGCGTGCGATCATCAAAACAGATGTTGCACTAGAAAGGCGGTTGGGCAATACCGCCAATACGTCGGCCTATAGAGATAAAGCCACCTGCTTATAGTGGTCACATTTTGGTCACGAGGGTCTTCTTCTGATTCCTACTCGACTTTATTTGGTCACATTTTTACTTGAAAATAAACAATATTAAGAATCTGTTTAGTTCATGGATTTACACATTAAAAGGCAAAACTCCTTTAAAGAAGTAACGTTAAAGTTGTCATAAATTTAACTGATAATACAATTTGATCATTTAATTGAAAAGAATTAAATAAAATAACTTACATTGATAAAATAGTATAATTAGATTATAACATTACATATTATGTAGATTATCATTGACTCGATGTTGATTAGGCTAATACGTGTCATTTTAATGCCCACATAAATCTTAAGTGTTATATATATATATATAACAGGCATCAAACAATAGCCGATGGCGGTTTCAGTTGATTGACAACCAATGGTTGTCTTTTAAATAAACAACCACCAACCATTGAATGGCGACTAGTGGTTGTTTAACAAATTTAAAAATAAAAAACTATACACTTAAAGTTCACATGAGTATTGTCACGTGTTAATTTAGTTAGTGTCACATAAACAATAACAATTGAATATATAATATTATGGTCTAAGTATACTATTTTATTGATTTAGGGTATTTCATTGAAGTTTATTTTAGTTATTAAGTGACTCAATTGGAATATTTTGCAATGAACTTAGGGAGATAATCTAATAATGTTTTTTTTTTTTTTTTTTTTTTTTTGTGTATGTTACTTATATTTATTAATTTTGATTTATTTGACTTTTATTACTCGATTTTAAAAAGTGGTTCATTTTTATTTTTTTTGAAAATAAAGGATTAATTCATTAAATCATCAAAAATACAATCAACAAGGAAAGAATGAGGGGTATCAAACCACTCTCCGCAACCTGACTTAAGGGGGTGTATTCAATCATGACTTTCCTAGAGTTTTAAAGACTTTTATGAACTTTAAAAGTTTGGGGGTATTCAATTCAAACTTTTAGAGAGTCTTTAAAAGTCAAGCGGTATTCAATCAAGATTTTTAAAGAGTCTTTAAAAGTCGTGTAGTATTCGATTAAGACTTTTATAGAGTCTTTGAAAGTTATGTGGTATTCAAAAAGTTATGAACTTTTGTAGACTTTTTAATTTTAAGACTTTTGTAGACTTTTCATTCTCAAATATAAATAGTTGAAATCCAACCATCAACCCCAAGATTTCAAATTTTTCTTTCTAACAACTTTGAATGTTTTCTCTCTCTACTTAAACTCTATTTTTCTCCCTATTTAAACTTTATAAACCTATCTAAATTTAATAAAATTATTTTTTTCTTCATTATCCCATATTTTCCTCATACCTAAAACTCTACCAATTTTTTTTCTCTCTCCTAAACTTTACAATCTTCCTCTAAAAATTCGAAATAATATTATTTTTACTTCATTATTTCTTGTTTATATTGATTTTTATTTTTTCAATAAATTTTTTATCCCTAACTTTCTCTAATTCTCTCTAAATACATGAACAAAGCAAATTTTTCATCATCAAATTTTAGTATATATTTCATAATATTCATATAAATACTTATATATTTTGATTTTTATTCTTATTATGTTTATATTCGTAATATATATTTTTTCTTTTAACAAGTTACTACGAATAGCGAACTACTGTTCGCAACAACAATTTGGGGTTGCAAACAGTAGCACCTTCCTGTTGTTCGGAGTCTCTTATTGCGAATAATAGTTCTTTGCGTGTGCCTAGCAATATATCAAGTATAATTATATATATATATATATATATATATATATATATATATATATATATATATATATATATATATATATATATATTAAATTTTTATTTTTTTATTTTATGCAACTTGTAATTATATTTTTAAATATTTTATTTGATCAATTCTTTTATTATAAATTTTATTATTCAATATTGTTATGAATTTGTAATGAAATAAAATTTTTTTATGTTTATTAATAATATATATAAGTAATTAGCATATAAGTCTCAACCTACATACTATGGAGATAAATAATAATGTTGATGTGGGTGAAGAACTATATAATAAGAAAATTTTATGATATATTATAAATGTTTTGTAAGAAAATTATATAAATGATAAGAATCAAAATCTGAAAGTTTGTAAGGATGTATTCAATTTAGAATTTCAATGACTTTTGTAGACTTTTTAAAATAAAAAGTTGATAAAAGTCTATGAATGTTTTTTATATAGACTTTTATAGAGTCTTATAAAGTTTTAAAAAGTTTTGAACGACTCTATGAAAGTCAATCAAAGTTTATTAAAATCTATCATTTTAAAAGTCTTTAAAACTCTACAAAAGTCATGATTGAATACACCCCCCTTAGAAACGACCTCCGGAGCAAGAATGTGGGCGGTGCGATTCGTAGATCGCTTAGCAAGACAGAAATCAACACCATCAATCATAGATGCTAGATTTTTAATATCATCAACAATCAAACCAAAAGCAAAAAGAAAAGAAGTACTAGAAATAGCTTTGAAAATCAGCTGAAAGTACGTCTCCATATCCACATTACCCAAGCCAGTATCTTTAAACCAACTTAAAGCCTCTCTTATACACATAGCTTCTGCTTTCTTCGCACCACACGTACCATACAAACTCATATTCTTGGCTGCTAAGGAAATCCCATTATCATCCCTAAGGACCATCCAAAATCCAAAATATTAGTGCTTTGATCCAAAGATACATCGGTTTTCAAAAGAGGTTCATTCTTAGTTCATAATATTTTTACTTTATTTTTTAAAAATAAGGATTAAAGTTGAACAAATTAAAATGTCACCATAGATAAAGGACAAAAAATATAATAAACTCTTTTTGATTTTTTCATTCATTTTTTCTCATTTCACATATTCCTCTATGTGATTTTGTTTGTTCTCAATCATTGATTATGTTCGTTACAAATGTGTTCTTACCTGAGCTAAAAAAGACTTATGTAAACTAACAAGGAAGGAATTAATACATATGTTATTTAACTAACAAAAAAGATCCACCGTTCATTTTGTAACTAGTCCCAGTCGGTTAAATGAAGATAATGCTAGCTATGGGGTTTGAACCCATGCGCACTTATGCGCAGAAGATCTTAAGTCTTCCCCCTTAACCTCTCGGGCAAACTAGCAATCATTTAAAAGTTGTGTTTGTTAAATTCTATACTTCAAGATGTTTCTGTTAAGGATATATATATATATATATATATATATATATATATATATATATATATATATATATACTAGTTTTTTACGCGCATTGCGCGATTGGGATAATGCCCAATGTTTTTCTTAAATAAGTATTTTAAAGTATATCAAGGTAAGATTATATTGGAATTGTTAATGCATAGATAATTGAATAATGTTGAATTTGTGTATTTAAATTGGTAATTCTAAGTTTACAAATGCAAGATAATATAGTCAAGATTGATTATAATTGTCAATAAAATAATTGTATGAGTATGGTTGAAACCAAATACAGGACATAAGGGAGAGAAAAGAGTTTTTACCCATTTTGGTCCCTTGACTATGACTCATTCTCAATTTTGCATTCTGACTTTTAATTGCACCCAATGTGATCCCTTGACTTTTAAAAATTACCCCAATTTGGTCCTCCGTTACATTTTCCATCAATTAGGCGTTAAGTTGGGGGTATTTTGGTCCATTCATATGCTGCGCGCCTTCACCAACTGCGTTTTCCTCCGTCCATCGTATTACACTGCGTTGAGTATTAGAGAAAAGCCTCAAATCATAAATTAGAAACCAACTGCCTTTTCCTCCGTCAGAGTCGATGCATCTCCTCAAGTAAGGGCGTTGCTCAAAGCGTAGCATTTTCGGTAAACATGATTCATGGAAAGGTTTTCAGCACTATCTGATTTTGTTAAATTGAATTTGCAGCTATTTGCTTGAAGAGCCGAAGCGCTTCTGAAGCTCTCCCAATTAGATGACGCTGACTCAAGTAACTTATTGCTAGGCACAGACTAGTGTCTCCAAACCCACAATGGGAATGAACCTGAATGTCGTCAAATGTAAAAAACATAATAAGAATGATTAGTTTATTCAATCTTCAAATAACACACAGTGAAAATGAAATACATTTAATTTAATGAACTCAGATCACCTTCCAAATCCAGTCAATGGCCTCTGTTCTCAAACTCAACTCTAAGTCCCCACCTCTCAATCTCTTCAGATACCCCTCTCTAGGCAAATGCTGCCTCTCCCTTTCCACCATGAAACTAAAGCTTTCCTCACTCAAACTGGGCACCTCCATCAATGGCTCTGATCTTCCACCTCAAAGATCAAGCATTTATCACCATTGGATTCTTGGGCTGCTGCTGCAACCTCATCCTTTGCCGGAGAATCAGAATGATTAAACCACGGGCTATTCGTCTCTGCACAGAGTATGCTTGAAGCTACAGGGTCATCATAGCTGTTGTCAGTCATTAAAGCACACCCAAAAAAATCAAAAACACAAAAAAAAAACAAAAACAAAAACAAAAACAAAAACAAAAACAAAAAAAAAACAAAACAAAACAAAAAACAAAACCAGAAATACAACACAAGAATTCCTGTTTTAATGTTCTCTACTCCAAACCCAAAACAAAATCTAGTTTCATCTCCCTCCTAGGATTATTACTGGGTATGCTGTTTGGAGAG